CGTTGTAGCACCTGAAGTGCTTCTGTGAGCTGTCCCCTAGAGGAGATGGTGGCACGGTGCAAATAAATATTTATTATTATTTGAAACACAAGATTAGTACACAGCAAACAAGATCACTATGCTGGTTGCTGTATTGGACCACACGTCGGACACTTCCCAAGTGTCTAGGACGATGTGATGTATCGGTGAATAATGCGTGAAGATCCCAGTAGGATGGCATTTTGCAGCTGACACATAGTCATTTTGTCAGCGCCAATTGTGTTTAAGTGCAGGCCAAGGTCTTTATGCACTGCACCCAGTGTGCTGATCACCACTAGGACCACCTTGACTGGCTTGTGCCAGAGTCTTTGCAGTTCGATCTTTAAATCCTAGTATCATGTCAGCTTTTCCAGTTGTTTCTCTTCAATCCTGCTGTTGCCTGGGATTGCAACATTGACAATCTATACTTAATTTATTATTATTATTACTACAGTGTTCCCTCACTTATTGCAGAGGTTCCGTTCCAGGACCACCCACAATAAGTGAAAATCCGTGAAGTAGGGACGCCATATTAATTTTAATTTTTATACATAATTTTATATATTTTATATATTATTTTCTTACCCGCACTTCTTTACCCACCTCCCGGCCCATCCCAAGGGCACCTGCCTGCCTCCTTGGCCTCCGCAGACCCCAGCAGAACCTCTGGAGCCATGCAGGCAGCAGCAGGCCAGAGAGGCAGGCCTTCCCTGCCGCACTTCAGGCCGCCGCACTTCCGGGGTCTCTGGACTCCACTGGACATAAATATTTTATATTTTATATTAATATTATCAAAAGCCTGCGAAAGAACGATTCCGCTAAAAGTGAATGGCAAAGTAACAAGGGAACACTGTATTATTATTGTATTATTCCTTCTTTCCAGGCTTTTAAACAGAGGCTGGATGGCCATCTGTCAGGGGTGCTTTGAATGCAATTTTCCTGCTTCTTGGCAGGATTTTGGACTGGATGGCTCACAAGGTCTCTTCCAACTCTATGATTCTATGATGCCAGAAATTTCAGTAGGAATAGCCATTTCTTATTAAGCCATAACTTGTTATGGTGTGCTTTTCAAACATTTTGGCATTTGGGAGTGTTGGTATAAAATAAAAATTATAAATTTGGATGGTGTGTTGTAAATGACTTAAATGAACTCCATTTTTCCATCACTGACATCTCACCCATGGTGTATTGCTTTGATGAACTCTGCCATTTATGCTATGCCAGAAATGTTGTAACTGCAGTATTATGTGCCCAGGGCTCTACCATCTGAAGTTATGGCTACAATGGCAGACCCTGAGAACAGTCTCATAAACAAGAATGCTGTGGGTTAGTTTTGGATTCAGGTGACCATGCAGATGAGCCGTAGAACTCATAAAGGCCAAGGTTTGAATCTCCGCTCTGCCCATTAATTCCACTAAGTTAGTGGTTCTCAACCTGGGGTCCCCAGATGTTTTTGGCCCACAACTCCCAGAAATCCCAGCCAGTTTACCAGCTGTTAGGATTTCTGGGAGTTGAAGGCCAAAAACATCTGGGGACCCCAGGTTGAGAACCACTGCACTAAGTGATCTTGAGGAAACCAAATTATTTCAGCCTCAGATGAAAGCAATGTAAAATCCCTACTAAACAAAAACATGCCATGATAGGTTCACCATAAGTAGTTAGAAACAACTTGAAGGCACACAACAACAACAACAACAACAATAACAACAAGACACCAGCATGTTTCTGGCCACAGAATATGTGGGTGGTTTTGAAGGAAAGAAAATCTTGTTCCCTTAGAAGTACTGGTTGTCACTCAAAAAAATCTAAATTTGAGACTATTTAAAGCCAATTTGGTTTTTGAAATGTTTCCAGGTGATCTTTGTCATTTTCTCTCCAGCCTGGAGATATATGTGCATATAGCTACTGCTCTATATATTGCATTTATGACATTCTGTTTTCTAAACAAAAATAAGCCTTGAGGATTAACATGTTTGGAATAGACTTATCACTAGCTTAGCCCCTTTGCCTTGGAAATGAATTCATCTGCTCCTTTTGGTGAATACTGCATTAACAAAAAAAGAGAAAGAAAGAGAGAGAGAAAACCCTCAACAACAATTGAGGAATTCATGAGTTAGTCAATGATACACAGATGAGAACATAATAAAGCCAAACAGAAGGACCAAAGACAGAAGCGCCCAGAACAAGAGGGCCTCAGATAGCTAGATAGGAAACTAATGTCAGAAGAGTTAGATAAGCGGAAATGAATGAAACCAGTTTTATGAAATTCATGATGAAGATAAATTTGTTTGCTGAAATGAAATCAGTTGTGATCTTCCCCCTCTCCTATCTTTTTTTTAAAAAAAGATAACCCATGCCTTGATGACAGGGATACACAAGCATCTATATAAAACTTAAATAGAATCATCCAAACACACACACACACACACACACACACACGGTAGCTTGAAAGCAAAGCCTTCAAGGATTAATCTGCAGTGTTCAACCTTAGACGGTTATAAAGATAGTCATGCTTTGCGTTAGCCCATAAATTGGGAGGCATATGCTACCCCTTGATCTATGCACAGAACTCCTGTTGAGATTAATGGGACTTGCATGTTGTTTGGAAGTTGCTTTCAAAAAGGGCAAATTAAACCTCTTCATTAAATAGGAAACAGGCTGTTTTAGAAGGAAATCTTATTTCCCCTACAACAGTGTTAAGGTTGGAGGGTTTTTTTTAACTAGGGTGGGAGGAAAAAGAGACATTTTCAAACAACAGCTGCTTTAGAGGCATTACAAGAGGCATGTATTTCAAAAGTACCAGGTCCATTTGCTTGGGTTTTATGTGCTGAAATGTTACCACTAAAATGCTCTCTCTTTCTTTCTCTCAATCTCTCCAGTGCTTAACCCAACATATTTTGCTACCTGAGGCAAAGGGTGCACAAGGCAGGGAATCCCAGAAGCACCCCTCTCCCCCATTTTCTGGCAGTAACAGAAATGCCTTCACTATACATGGCAGCGCCAAAAACATGCTGCCAATTTATTTTGCTTAATTATTTTGTATTCAGGTTTTCTCCTACTGTGAGACCCAAGGTATCTTGCACTGCAGACTAGAACAACATACAAATAAAAACAAAAACCCAACCTTATTAAAAATGGCATTAACTAAAATAAAATCTTTATCTCACTCACCTGATATTAAAACTAATATTCTGTAATAATGAGTTAATAGTCAAAAGCAGGGGTCCTCAAACTTTTTAATCAAAGGGCCAGGTCACAGTCCCTTAAATTGCTGGAGGGTTGGATTACAAAAACATGCACATATCATATTGATAGTCCAAAAACACTTAAAAACAATACAATAATTAAAATGAAGAACTATTTTAACAAATACAAACTTATTAGTATTTCAGTGGGAAGCGTGGGCATGCTTAAACCTGATGAGATAGGATTTTTGTTGTTGTTGTGTGCTTTCAAGTTGTTTCAGACTTGACAACCTTGAGCGAGGGTCGGGTAAATGACCTTGGAGGGTCTTATCTGGCCCCCGGGCCTTAGTTTGGGGGGCTTTCTAAATTAAAAAAGATTTGCCTGCCAGTAGAAAGAGAACAGGGGTGGGGGATCAATCTAAAAGAAAAAAGAGAGAGGGCTCAAACTTCTGTGAGAAGGAGTTCCACAGCCACCAAGAAGGCTCTTTCATGTCTTCTCACCAAATGTCTTTGTCACAGTGGTGGGACTGAGAGAAAACCCCAAAATATGAAAACTTGGAGAGCTTCATTCAGGGCAGTGGTTCTCAACCTGGATGTTTTGGCCTTCAATTCCCAGAAATCCTAACAACTGGTAAACTGGCTGGGATTTCTGGGTGTTGTAGGCCAAAACACCTGGGGACCCACAGATTGAAAACCACTGATTTGTGGTGGAAGCTCCTTCTTTGGAGGCTTTTAAACAGAGGCTAGATGGCCATCTGTCGGGGGTGCTTTGAATGCAATTTTCCTGCTTCTTGGCAGAATGGGGTTGGACTGGATGGCCCATGAGGTCTCTTCCAACTCTATGATTCTATGAGATATGGTCTTTCTGATGGTTGGGGCCATGATACTCTGCAAAATCTGCTACCTACTGTTTTGATTACTGAGATAAAGTATATGAAGGTGAGGGTGATACAAATTCAGTTGTTACTTCAGAACCTGCATTTGTAAAACTCCCATAACACTTGAGTTCAGGGTAAATTTAGATCACTTTGCATATATCTAGAGGTGGAAATTTCCTATGTTTTGTGAGACATGGCCTTCCTCATTCATTATATGGAAAAGGTCCATTCATTCAGAGAAATGGATGTTCTTCCTCCACTGGAATTAATTGTTTCTGTAGATGAAGGATTTATGTGAATGCATGACACACTGCTGGATTGGGAAAGCAGGGTTGCACAAATTTTGGAATTTTGACCTTCAGGAAAACTAACATTCTTGATGATAACAACAATACCACAGTTGGCATTAATAAATTTCATTTCAAGTGTTGACCACTTGAAATGAATATATTATCTTGGTAATTTATGCAGCGACCTTGTAAATTACACTGATGTTATTATCTGCTCCAAAATGACAGTACCAAAATCTTGCATAAATGTCCATTTCCGTACTGGACAGAATCTTCCAAATTTACAAAGAGAATTCTACAAGAATATACTTATCCATAAGCTTACACTCTGAATATGCAATCAATACCTCCAAAAATGAAAGGAATTGAGTATGCATTGGGAAGTCTATGCCTGTATCTATTTATCCATAGGAACCTTCACACAGATAGGACTACGTAGGCTGGATAAACCTAGTGAATGCAACTCATATGTCCCTCCCTCTCCCCTATGAATCCCTTTGACTGCATAGTCTGGATTTTAACCAGAATCTTCCTGGCTAACAAGTCATGCTTTTGGCCACTATCAATTCTTGTTCTGCCCATGCTTGGCTCCCACTCCAGGGTTGAGGGTTGGGGTTGACAAGACTTACTGCAGCCTGCCTTGTAGCTGAAACCAGGAGGAAGGAGGAATCCTTGCTGGGCTGCTGCTGCTAGAGTCCGTTGGTCTGGGGGGAATACTGGAATCATTAATGGCGGTAGCTGACCTTGGACCTGCTGGACAGAAAAGGTGAACATCAAACCAGATATCATGGCTTCTTAACAGTATACTTGCAGAGGCGGCCCTAGGTAATTTTCAACGGTAAGCAAACTGTATTTTGGTGCCCCCCCCCAACCAATCACTGATATATATTTTCTGTTCATCGTGGGAGTTCTGTGTGCCATATTTGGTTCAATTCCATAATTGGTGGAGTTTAGAATGCTCTTTGATTGTAGGTGAACTATAAATCCCAGCAATTACAACTCGCATGTGTCAAGGTCTATTTTCCCCCAAGAGCGCCCCAAGAGCACCCCTGGGCAAAATCAACTATACTGCAAAGGCTTACTTTGGGTAATGGGTTGAGCCGCCCCCTGTACCCACCACCCAAGTGAAGGCTTTCAGATGGGGACAATTTAATACTAGATTTTATGTGTTTCCTCCACAACAGGCATCCCAGTGTTCCTTTCTATCTCCATTGGTGTGGAATTTGCATGACCCCACCCACTGCCTCTACCATAAACCCATTCCAATGTTTTCCTATGGTGCACAGCAAACAGAGGAATTGATCAGTAACTAAATATACTAGAGAAGATTGGGGGAATCTTCATTGGTGGGGTTTAGAATGCTCTTTGATTGTAGGTGAGCTATAAATCCCAGCAACTACAACTCCCAAATGTCAAGGTTTAGTTTCCCAAAACTCCACCAGTGTTCACATTTGGGCATATTGAGTATTCATGCCAAGTGTGGTCCAGATCCATCATGGTTTGAGTGTGCAATGCTCTATGGATGGAGGTGAACTACAACTCCCAAACTCGATGCCCACCAAATCCTTCCAGTATTTTCTGTTGGTCATGGGAGTTCTGTGTGCCATATCTGGTTCAATTTCATCATTGGTGGAGTTCAGAATGCTCTTTGATTGTAGGTGAACTATACATCCCAGTAACTACAACTCGCATATATTACAAGGCCTATTTTCCCCCAAGAGTGCCTCAAGAGCACCCCTGGGCAAAATCAACTATACTGCGAATGCTTACTTTGCATAATGGGTTAAGCCGCCCCTGTATACTTGTGTAGTATGGCCATAGAACTTGTTTAGCATTGCTTGTACCGAATGGTCAACAGGATGCTTAATACTATGATCAATGTCTAGGGACATTTATTGTTGACATAACCAGTTTATTTATTTATTTGGTTTATTTATACCCTGCCTTTCTCTACCCCAAGGGGGATTAAGGCAGCTTACAATCGCACCACCATGGTGCTTTAAAACATACAAACATCAGTTAAAAGCATAAATTGAAATTAAACATAATAATCATAGTTTAAAATGCATTCAATAAAGTTCAGAACAGAAATTGATTTCCATGTTACTCTTCCATTCTAGAAACCAGGATACGTGCTATTTAGAGCAGACATGGGCAAACTGAGATTTGTGGCCTCAATATCTTTTTGGACCCTCTTCTAGAAGGCAACAATAATCTCTACAATTTTTATTTTGAACTCATATTTCAGTTTGCTGTGGAAATTTTGTCCCAGCCTACTAAATTAACTGCAACTTACAGGAAAAGGAACTCAATGCAATAGGGGAATGGGATAGTTCAGTGTCAGAGTCAATTTGATTCCTCTTAGTTCAGTCTCAACTGTCTAAATCACTGTAAATATTATAAATATTTCAATTGGCTTTGAGTAATAGTAATATCCATTTATGCACTAATGTAAATCTAATAATAATTAATCAAGTACGAGAGGAAAGGTCTTGTTAAGAATGGGTGTAGAAATGTTAATGAATTGAATAATGCTCAATGAAGAATTAATTTTAATTAATTTCGATTATTTTTAACTAATGTGTGTGAATGTATAGTAAATTTTATGAATTTTTTAAATACCCAAACAAAAACATTGTATTTTTCATACTTGGCCAACATGAAAAGTAGAACACAGCAGGCGCTGCACATCCTTGGCTTAGATACATGAACTACAGCCGGCCATCAACTTTGTATGAATTTGTATGTCAGAATAGGTACATTTTAAAACTGTAACTGCAGATAGATACACACACAACACACATACGCACACATCTTTAGATAGCATAGAGAAGCACTACCACACTTTGTTGTTTGTTTTGCTCTCTGTGCCCCTGTTCAGAAGATTTCACTTCACTTTCTGTCCCTGCGATCAGTCTCTTAGAGTCTTGGGGCATATCTACACTGTAGAATTAATGCAGCTTAACACCACTTTAATAGCATTGTTCCATGCTATTCTTCTTCTTCTTATTATTTCAAACATTTATATCGCATCCTTCTAAATCCCGCCCCCCGGGGGGGGCAGCTCAGGGCGGCTTATAACTGGCAACCATTAGATGCCAACAGCAACAAGCAATAACAGTACAAAGCAGATTAACATTAGATAAAACAGCAAAGTTATAAATAGCAATTAAAATATTAAAATACAACCAAGCCCAAATCCAAATCAGAGTCCAGAGTTCCAGTCCGAGATCTATCAATTGTCAGTTATCATAAGTCATTGCATTAAATTACTGCTAGATCAGCTTCCCAAAAACTTGATCCCAAAGCCATGATTTGAGCTTTTTTCTAAAGCAAAGGAAAGAAGGAGTCACCCTGATTTCACTGGGGAGTGTGTTCTATAGATGGGGGACCACCACCGAGAAGACCCTAGCTCTTGTCCCCACTAGTCGCACTTGCAAGGATCGCAGGATCGAGAGCAGGGCCTCCCCCGATGACAGAGGGGGCCCTAGGTAATTTTCAATGGTAAGCAAACAGTATTCCCCCCCCCCCCAGCCAATCACTGATATATATATTTTCTGTTCATCGTGGGAGTTTTGTGTGCCATATTTGGTTCAATTCCATCATTGGTGGAGTTCAGAATGTTCTTTGATTGTAGGTGAACTATACATCCCAGTAACTATAACTCGCATATGTCAAGGTCTATTTTCCCCCAAAAGCACCTCAAGAGCACCCCTGGGCAAAATCAACTATACTGCGAATGCTTACTTTGTGTAATGGGTTGAGCCGCCCCTGCCCGATGATCATAAGCTCTGAGGTGGATCATAGAGGGAGATACGTTTGGACAAGTAAGCTGGGCCGGAGCCGTATAGGGCTCCTATGAAATCATGGGAGTTGTAGTTTACAAGATCTTCTCTGCCAGAACTGCTGGTGCCTCACAAAACTACAGCTTCTAGAATTCCATGCCATAGAGCCATGGCAATTAAAGTAGTGTCAAACTGCATTAATTCTACAGTGTAGGTGCACCCCTAGTCAAATATTGAACCATTGGCTTCTAGTATTTATAGGATTTAGACAACTCTGTGACATGTCTGTTTCTGCCTCAACCTGTTCCTTCCCCTTCTATATAATTTTAAAATATTTCTTTTTTTTCAAAAAAATGACAAAGAAACTCCATTCTCCTTTTAGAACAAAAATGAACAGCCGAGCGGAATTTTTGCATCGTATTCTTCGGCATAGAGCCACAAAACTTTAAAAAAAAAAAAAGGGTTCCAAGGATGAAAGTGACTTTGCCAAGCAAAGAAGCTTCAAAACAGAACTCAAAACACTAATAGAGAGACAGATGGCTCCACTGAAGGCTTTGCTGCCAAAAAAGAAAAAAAATTATATACAAAAAAAATCGTAGTGATGTTATTGAAGCTGACTGGAAAGTTCTCTGATGACTACAAATACTCTTGTCCCATTTCAAGTGTTAACTCTGCCTCCAGGGCTAATATAAACTAAAGCAACACGCACAATCACACACACGCACACACACACACACACACACACACACAGCGTGCTTCTGCCAAGACCACAAGGTACTACAAGTCTGCACTTGATTTCAAGTGACTTCTGGGTATACTAGGAAATGCATTGTGCTAAACTGTCCCTGTTTGGGAAAAGAGCCACTAGGAAAACAACCTTCCCCCAGCTTTCCTTTCCTTTCCTTTTTATAAGCGCTGTCACATTTTCTCATGCATGCTCTCTACCTCCTGTACAAATACAAAAAGGACTTAAAGAAACAGTCACAAAACCCCAAACTCTCTTTTGGCTTGAGATGGGAAATCTCAGCTGAGTAAGAGAGGTAAGACCGCAGCTGAAAAGGTGAGGTTGGTTTACATGGAGACCAAAATAATTCCGTCAAAACAATGTGATTTTCATTCCAAGCTGGAACGTAGTTTTAACACCTGTGCTCTATTTCCTTTCTGAAGTAAATAAGTGCTCGGGTAATTTCATTGTTATCAAAATATTATAGGAGGATGAAATGTGACCTGAATGCACATGATGGCTGGCTTTTCTCTAAATGTAGTATTTATTTTTAAGAAGGAGGGGGGGGGGGCTTTCAGAATGGTTTGTTTATCCATAATAGTTGCCAAGTTACAGATGTGAAAAATGCTCTATGATAGCATGGCTTTAAAAAAATTCCAACTTCTCCTGCTTATAGATAATTACATAGATACACAATTCTTTCTTCTCTCCCCACTTCACAGATGCACCCTCCAAATATATCCCCTAGTAACTTGTTGATCCTAGATTTAGAGTTTTTAGGACCGCTAAGAACTTCTAATCAGGGCGAGTTGCATACCCTGCCATATGTTCTCCATGCTGTACTTCCAACAGATCTGCATACAGGGTTATAAATAATGCCTATATTTCATGATTTTTTTTATTGTTATCTTAAGTTCTTGGGGCAGGGGTATAATGTCAAAATTATGCATGTCCCATGCCCAGAAATCCCAAAATAGAATGCATTGAGAATTACTAGAGTTTCTTATTAAAAGGTCAAGCAAAAAAAGCAAAATGTTACTTGGAATCAGGAAAAATGTATAAAAGAGAAAGAAAGACTCATCTTCAAAGCCCTGGAGGAATTTTGCTTTCTCCGCCTTGGGAACAGGGATTAGCAATGGAAGAAGGAGACAACCTGAGATCTAATGCAGGGGAGGGGAAGCAACCAACAATCAAGAGGCCAAAGATAGAAATCTGTACTCATGTGCTGCATATGACCCCTG